TTGTGGAGTACTCTTTATCTCTCTAAAATCTTCTAAAACCTTCCGGACTCTTTCGGAGTGCTCTAAGTTCCTTGATGTTCTAGAACCTTCCAAATCTTTCTAGAAACTTTTTCAACATTTTAGATTCTTCTAGATTGTTCTAGACTATTCTAGGTTATTCTTGAACTTTCTAGAATTTTCTAGAATTTTCCAAAAACTTCTCTAACATTCTAGATTTTTCTTTAAAATTTTTTTTATTCCTTCTAAGATAATATTCCCTAACTAGTTTTTTGCCAAAATGGAGCGAGGTATTACATCTTCTCTCTCTCTCTCTAAAACAAAAATTCTAATCTTCCTCTTCTATATCCACTAATAATTAATCCACAAACGATTGCAACTACATTGAGAAAATCTTGTTAGGCCTCGTTGACCGATCTTTTTTTGGGAACAACTTTGAAAATCTCCCTGTGTGTCAACCCTTCTTTGACCGGTGTGGAAGCATCTCTGATAATCTTTCTCTTAACTTTTCTTTGACTGGTATAAACTATAAAAGCATCGATTTCCCTTTTTTTTTGTTTTCTTGTTGCCTTGCTCTCTAGTTTTTTTTTGTCTTGCTTAGAGACATGTATCTCCATGTTGTCTTGCATTAACGAAATTCAAGCTTGCCCGATAACTGAATCGAAACCCGACCAACAAACATGATCAGTTATCGATTCGGTCATATTATCTAAATGGTTCGGTTAAACTTTTCTACTTCTGAGAACAATTGGCTCGGTTGGCGAAAGTTACCACTTTCAACCCTAAAGGTTGGCTGAACACCCCTAGGCTTAACAACCTTACTCTTGTTATAAAGGGCTTTTAGCCTTGGTTTGGATATTCAGCTTACTATGTTTTCAACCTTGGCAGTGTTCTTCCCTATTCTTTCAAGAGTATTTTGCTGAGTTCTTTTTAAATAATATCAACTGTGTGTTTTTGGTGGTTAGCCAAGTTGATCTCCAACAAGCCTAGATGAAGTTAGGTCTTTTATTAGTGAAAGGAAAGTTCCAAACTTTTCTTGTCTTTTTTATAAGTTAGGCACCTTTTATATGGGGTACCCTTCTCTTTTCAACCTTATGATGAAGGTGCTTTACTTGAAGATTCAGTTTCCCGAGCTGAACTTACTCGAGGTTAAAAATTGCTACACATTGTGAGACTTTTTTTTTTGAGGGAAATAGGATTTTATTGAACTTCTTTCCCTGTAAGAAAGATTACATGAAATCACTAATTAAAGAAAAAGAAGAGAAACCTTTAAGAAAGAGGTGGACTGTTGTCCTTATTGAGCTTTACTCATGCTGATTTCTATTGAAAATACTTCTTTAGATGTTCTGCATTTTATGCATGTACCAACTGTTTTCCTTCCAAAGTTTTGAGTTCGTAAGTATGAAGCCTCACCATTCGGTTAACTTGATAAGACCCTTCCAAGTTTGGTCCCAGTTTTCCTTCTTTGGAATCCCTGGAAGCAGGAGTTACTTTCTTCAGCACTAGCTCTTCTGGGGAGATTTTTTGGATCTTCACCCTTTTATTGTAATATTTTACTGTTTGATTCTGATAAGCAGCCGCCACCCTGATCCGTGCTAGTTCTTTTTTCTCCTCCAACAAATCCAGATTGATTCTGAGCTGCACCTCATAAAAGTGCTGGCCTTTGTAGGTTTCCAACCCCATTTCAACCAAAATTATTGCTTTTGCCCCAAAAGTTAAGGAGAATGGGGTTGCTTTGGTGGGAGATCTCACTGTTCTCCTGTACGCACATAGGATGCTTAGGAGCTCTTCTACCCATAGTCCTTTTCTAGCTTCCAACCTTGTCTTCAACCCTTTTAGCAAGGTTTTGATAGGGACTTAAGCATGTCCATTAGCTTGAGGATGGATAGGGGATGAATAATAGTTTTGAATTTCCAAATTAGAATAGAACTCTCTTAAGGTATCATTGTCAAATTGCTTTCTATTATTAGTTAGCAAGACTCTAGAAACTCCAAAGCGACAAACAACGGATTTCTTTACGAAACCTCTAAGTTTTTGCTCTGTAATTATAGCCAGTGACTCTGCCCCTGACCACTTAGTGAAGTAGTCAATGACCACTACTGCAAACTAGTTCTGTCCCTTTCCAATTGGCAATGGACCTACTATGTCAACATTATGCAAAAGGCCAAGGACTTGTTATAAGGTGAGCTCCTACAAGAGGTTCTTGAGAACGTCGGCAAACCTCTGGCACTTATCACAACTTCGTGAGAATTTGATGGTATCTTTCTGCATGGTAGGCCAATAATACCCCCGGCGTAGAGCCTTATGAGCCAAGACTCTTCCTCTAGAATGGTTGCTATAGATTCCTTCATGAATCTTGCTGATAATGTATTGAGCATCTTTATGCTCTAAACAACGTAAGTATCAAAGAGAGAAACCTCTTTTATATAGGATTCCATTTGACATCATGTACCTATTAGCTTTACGACGAAGTTTTTGAGCCCTCACCTTATCTAATGGCGTAGTTTTATGCATTAAATATTGAATTGCTTCTTTTGTTATTATTCATTATGATGTGTGGGGACCTTTTCGTGTTGCCTCTCTTTTAGGTTATCATTGGTTTATCATTTTTATTTATTTTTATTCTCATTTTATTTAGGTTTACTTACTCCATACTAAAAGTGAGGTTTTCTCTTGTTGTTGCTCTTTTCATAAATGGTTGGTACTCAATTTGATATCAAAATCAAAGTCATCCGCAGTGACAATGGAACTGATGAGGATTTTCGCCTTATCTTACTGATAGTGACATCTTTTATCAAATTGTTTGCGTGCAAACCACAGAACAAAATAGTGTTGTTGAGCAAAAAAATTGCCATCTTCTGGAGGTTGCTCATTCATTGATGTTTATTATGAATGTTCCCCAACATTTTTGGAGAGATGCAATTCTTACCGCTACATATCTTATTAATCGTCTACCTTTTGATGTCTTACAGTTTAAGTCTCCTATTGAGTGTCTTTTTGGGATTTTATCGATTCGTTTTGTTTCCTCTATTCCTCCTATAGTTTTTGGGTGTTTTTATTTTGTACAGGACTATAGAGCCTCTGGGGAGAAATTTGATGCTAAGGCCCAGTGGTGTTTCTTTGTTGGTTATTCTCTCGCTCAAAAGGGGTATTAATGCTACCATCTACCATCTTAGAAGATCTATGCTAGTATGGATGTTACCTTTTGAGAGTTTGAGCCTTTTTTCTCTGCTCCCCAACCATCTCNGCTCAAAAGGGGTATTAATGCTACCATCTACCATCTTAGAAGATCTATGCTGGTATGGATGTTACCTTTTGAGAGTTTGAGCCTTTTTTCTCTGCTCCCCAACCATCTCTTTAGGGGGAGAACACTAGTGAGGAAAAGGTGGTATGTCAGGAGCCATTTCTTCAATTGCCTTTCCAATGAGATACTAATAAGGGGGAGCAACAAATTGTTGTTACCAATGATCCACCTGGTACTTTGAAAATTTGTTATCGGCGTTAGAAGGTGTAGACCACCCATATGCCACTGGGTCAATTAAATTCCTACACTCCAGTTTTAACATCTATTGATTTACTAGGTAATGAGCTTCCGGTTGTCACCCAGGTTATGGATATTCCACCTATTGATGATTCTGAACTTCTTATTGTAGTTAGAAAAGGTGTTCGAGCTTGTACTCAACACCCCATATTTAACTTTGTTTCTTGTTTATCTTTGTTAAATTTTTTATTTTATGTAGTAAGTCATAAGTCCATTATTATAGGGTAATATTGGAATTATCCAAAATATTGTTCTGTTATAAATAAAATGGTGTAGGGCAACATAGCTCATACACACCTGATTCTTTATTTTCTACCTCTTTTTCTCTTTTCTTTGTATTTCTTTAACCTTAATATTAATTTATTGCTTTCAACTTGGTATCAGAGTAATTATTTCTTAAATACAAAAATTAGATCGAGCCAAATGAAGTTTATCCGCGATTGTTCAGGCGTCAAAGAGACTGTCGAAAAGTGACGTCATCAGTTTTTGGCGACTAAAGTCCACCTCCATGATCAACTCATTACTCTTGGATTTATGGTGATTGTTCTAGAATTTTCTAAGGCCATCTAGATCGACTTTTTATTTTTTGAATATTTTTCAAAAATTTTGAAATGTTTTTTGCGATCTGGACTCTGGAGGTAACCCAAGGTTTTTCAATGCTTCCTTATATCACAGACAAGTCTAACTAACATCCTAGGAGGTTCTTATGGCTAACCTATGCATTTGTGAGTGGTTTGTAGATGTTTTTGGTGTCTGGGCAATAGTTGGCTCTACGTAGTGCTAGTATATCTCACTGTTCTGGTGCTTCTGGTTGGGGACTTCTTCGTCTGTGATGTGTGGTTCAGTCTAGGTGTGCTTTCTTTTAAGTCTTTAATATTTCTTGGTGTTGGGTCTATTTGAATCTTGTGAACTAGTGTTGATTATGGTATAATTCATCAGACTACATGCTTGCTTACATCCCAGCAAAATGGTGTCACGGAACGCAAACATTGTCATATATTAGATGTTGCTCGTACTCTCATGTTTAACATGCATATACCTAACTTTACTGTGCAGACGTTGTTCTTACTACGGTTTATCTTATTAATCGAATACCTTCACTCATCCTTGAAAATAGGTCTCCATTCTCATTGCTCTATCTTGATACGTCACCCTTTAGTCTAACTCCTTGGATCTTTGGCTGTGTTGCATTTGTTCACCTTCTTGGTTCAGGTCGGGATAAACTCACCACACGCGGTAAAGTGTCTTTTTGGGATACTTTCGTACTCAGAAAGGATATCGTTGTTATGACTTTATCTTCCGTCGATACTATGTTAGTGTTGATGCTACATTTTTTAAGTCAGCCTCCTTTTTTTTTTGTCTTGGGAACTACTCTCATTTTTTTGCTATTTTGCATTAGCCTTGTCTTCTGTATTTGTTCCTAGTTCTTTGACAGATGCATTATCATCTTCTGGATAGAAGCTGGCTATGAATGAGAAAATTAAGACATTTCATGACAATCATACTTGGGATCTCACTTCTCTTCCGTTTGGTAAACAGACTATCTGTTGTTCTTGGGTCTACCCTGTGAAATATCATCCAAATGGGTCTGTTGAGCGTTTGAAGGTATGGTTAGTTTCTAAGGGCTACACCGGAACATATGATGTTGATTACTATGTGACTTTCTCTCCTGTTGCTTGTTTTAACACTATTATAGTTCTTATTTTTGTTGCAGTCTGTTGCGATTGACAATTGTATCAACTAGACATAAAGACTGCATTTTTACATGAAGATTTATAGGAGGAGGTATATATGACTCAACCACCAGGTTATGTTGTTACTGGTTAAGAACAATTAGTGTGTCAGTTAAAGAGCAATTTATGGCTTGAAGCAATCACTACGTGTTTGGTTTGATAAGTTTAGCACTGTTCTGGTTCAGTTTGGTTTTCAGTGTTCTACTTCAGATCATTCAGTCTTCACTCATCGGTTTTCTGCTGGCATTATCATTTTTATTGTGTATGTCGATGATATCATCATTAGCGATAATGACTCAATGGTATTGTCCATTTCAAGGCCTATTTAAGAAAGTAGTTTTACACCAAAGATTTGGGCTTTCTTCGATGCTTCCTAGGGATTGAGGTTGTCTGATCAAAGGAAGGTATTAGTTTGTATTAACGAAAGTACGTATTAGACTTACTATATGAAATTGACACTCTTGGTGCTCGTCCGGTTGATATGCCTATGGATTCTACAGTGAAGTTAGATTTTGAGAGTGGCGAAGTATTTGATGATATATGGTGTTATTGGAGACTTGTTGGAAAGTTGATTTATCTCGCAGTTACACACCTTGATATTACATATGTTATTAGTGTGGTTAGCCGGTTCATGCATGCTTCTGTAAGCCTCATTGGGGGGCTGTTTGCCGTATACTTCGATACCTGTAAGGAGCTCTTGGGAAATGATTGTTATATCATCCATCATCACCAATAATTGTTGTTGGTTTTTCTGATGCTGATTGGACTGGTAGTCATGATGATAGATGATCTACATCTGACTACAGGATGTTTGTTAGAAATAATCTTGTTACCTAGCATGGTTAGAAATAGAATGTCGTTGTGCATTTTAGTGCGGAGGTTGAATATCGTGCTATGACTTATACTACTTCTGAGATGTTATGTGTTCATTCTTTGCTCCGGGATATGAGACTTGATGTTCCTTCTCCTGTGAAGATGCATTGTGACAATCAAGCAACAGATTTTCATTGCAAGTAATTCGGTATTTCATGAGCGTACCAAACGCATTGAGGTGAATTATCATTTCATTTGAGATCTATTGATGAAAAAGGAGATCATCACTCTATATATCAAGTTTAATGATCAACTAGGTGACGTTCTTACTTAGTCATCGGCTCGATCGACCTTTAGGCATTTTTGATCTTTATGTTCCAAGTTGAGGGAGAGCGTTAGAGTTCTTATTTTATTTATTAAATCATAAGTCTATTAGTGTAGGGTAATATTAGAATTACCCAAAACATTGCTCAGTGATAACTAAGATGGTGTAGGGCAACATAGCTCATACACAACTGATTTTTTATTCTTTGCCTCTTATTCTCTTTGCTTTGTATTTCTCTAACCTAAAATCAATTTATTGTTTTCAATTATCTTCTATATCTATTCCTCAGGGTTAGAAATAAGCTCTTACTGATCCAAAGTGACGAGAAGCTATGGTAGAGGAAATTAGAGCTCTAGAAAAGAATGACACATGGGAATTAGTTCCACTTCCTGTTGGAGCAAAAGCAGTTGTGTGTAAATGGGTGTTCACTGTCAAACAATACGCCGATGGTTCAGTAGACAGATACAAGACAGGATTGTTGTTAAGGGATTCATTCAAACACATGGCATTGATTATCAGGAGACTTTTGTCTCTATGACAAAGATGAACTCCATACATGCCCTTTTGTCCCTTGTAGCTAAATTTGGGATGGAGTTTGCAACAGTTGGATGTGAAGAATTCCTTTCTTCATGGAGACTTGGAGGACGTGATATATATGGAGATTTTACCTGACTTTTCATTACCGGTAACTGAAGGAAAGATGTGTAAGTTGAAGAAGTCATTTTATGGGTTGAAGCAATCACCTAGAGCCTGGTTTGATAGGTTTCTCAAAGTCGCGTTGAAATTTGGATATAATTAGAGTAATGTTGATTATACTATGTTTATCAGATAGGTAGATGACAAAATAACAATAATCATGTATATGTAGATGACAGTGATAACTGGGAATAATGTGAATGAAATCACCAAACTGAAAGTTCAGTTGATTAAGGAGTTTGAGATTAAAGAGTTGGGTCCATTGAGATATTTTCTTGGGATTGAGGTTGTTAGTTCAGACAAAGGTGTTTTTATCTCTCAAAGAAAATATGTCGTTGACCTACTTGAAGAAACAGGTATGTTAGGATGTAGACCTACAGATTCTCCTATTGAAGTCAATCATCGATTGGTGGGAATATTGATATCTCTCTCATACTCAGCCAGATATTGCCTATGAAGTGGGAGTTGTAAGTTAATTCATGCATGATCATCGAGTCTCTCATCTTGAAGCTGTTCATTGTATTTTGAGGTATCTCAAGTCAGTCCCAAGGAAATGGATCTTGTTCTCTAATAATGGTTACTTGAAACTAAAAACATCATTGATGCAGACTAGGCAAGTTCAATAGATGACAAAAGATCCACTTTAGGCTACTGCACCTTGATTGGTGAAAATATTGTCACATGGTGAAGCAAAAAGCTAGCAATAGTAGCTTGGTCTAAGTGTAGAGGTTGAATACCGAGCTATGACCCATGGAGTTTGGGAGGCTATGTGGCTCCAAATTCTATTGAGTGAGCTCAGAATTCGTGGTGATGGGCCTATGAGACTATATTGTGATAATAAGGTAGTTATCAACATTGCACAAAATCTATTTTAACGTGATAGAACTAAACATGTTGAGATTGATTGCACTTCATCAAAGAGAAGCTGAACAAGGGTTTGATTTGCATATCCTTTATGAAATCAGAAAATAAGTTGGCAGATGTCTTCACAAAGGGACTTAGTAGCAAAGTTTTTCATCCTATCATCTGCAAGTTGGGCATGAGAGACATTTATGCATAGGGGGAATGTTATGTTATCTATAATATAAAATAGGGCAGACTTCAATAAGTCTATTCGACGGTCTCAAATAAACTTATCCAACAGCCTCTAACATCTCTCTCAAAACCATTCATATTGAATTCCCTCCATACCAAATCCATCACTTCTCACTTACGTTGTACCGTGCTTTCAGGCACGGATTACCCTTAGTGTTATGTTATATTATGATGTAACCTTTAAGGGTATTTTTGGTACTCCCTAAGAAACACTACTCTCTTTCTCTTAATCTCTTATTTGTTCTTTGTCCGAAGTCCTTGTGGTTATTGCTTCAAAGATTAGGAGTCTGCTTGATAGTACTTTAAGTAGGAAATGGTTTTCTTATCTTTTTTTTTGGGTAAGTGTGGTTTTTTATCTCAAGGAAAGGTAGAATTTGGTTTTTTTCATCGTAAGGAATTGTGGGAGAAGAACTTGCTGTGGCATTTGGCTATAGAACTTAAGTGGTTGGGATTCTAATCATAGTCTCCACTTTGTCCATTTGGATAGATTTATATGGAAGGTTTAGGTTTCGTTATAACAATGCTTTGGCTTAATTGCGACTTATAATGAGGTTCGCACTAACAAAAATTCCCCTGGCTAAAAGGCCCTTCATCGCTCTTAGCATTTGTTTGTTCTTTGCAAGAAAGATACTGTAAGCCATCTTCTTTCTATTGTTTCTCCCTCACTTCCACTATCTTAATTCTTATATGTGGCAAGGGCTATATGTTCTAGCTACGTCGCTGTGGTTCCCTTTGGAGAGGCTTTGGTATAAAAGAGGGAGCTAAGAATCTTGGCATTGAATAACATGATTAGTTTAGGTTATTTGGTTGAATGTAAATGCTAATTTTTGAACGTAAACGATCTTCAAATAAAGAGATGCAGGAATTTAATTTTTTGTTTGAGAAATGGTCTGAATGATTGGATTCTAGATTTCTAGCTATCATCTTTCAGTTGCAAAGTAAGGCTGTTCATGTGCTTCTAGGCCTTATCCTTGTTCGTTGGATATTGAAATCTGATGGACATTCTTTTGGATTTAGGTCAGCCAGGTATTGGAGGAAGTGTTATTATTTTGCAGAAAAACAATGCTAGCATTCTTTTAGATTTGTTGGTACCAATTCAAATGATGAATTCACAAAATTTGAATTCTCATAAAAGGCTTTATAGAAATGATCTCCTTGGTTTTATTCAAGTGTTTGGTTCATTCCATTTTTTCTGAGGTGAACAAAGTCTAGGGTTCTTCACCATGCTCATCTCTTGACACAGATATGATATGCTTGACTTTTAGTCCGCAAATGAGAAATCTGGCTTCTTAGTTCACGATGATTGATTCCTTTAGACCTGTCAAAAGGTCATTTCGCACTTTGCAGTTTCTGCTATGGTTTGCTCGGGTCTTGTATTTTGCTTCCCCTTTGGAATTCTTGTTTCCAGTTTTGAGCTGTTTCTCGTCCTTTCTTTGATACTTTACCTTGTGCATCTTTTCCTTTCATGTTGTTCTGAATTTTGTCCTAGCAAAACTAAGAAAATTAATTAAATAGTACTGCAATATAGTAGCATAATTTTTTTTATATACCCTCCCCTTTTATGGAAATACAAATTTACTAGTCATTTTCATTTTTCAATCCTATGTCACTACCCATTGTTTCATGGTTGATACTTACTGCAGGTCTGAAGTTTTAAGCGTCGTAATCCGCCCTTCTAATCAACTCAAGATCACTTTCTTAGAGGTTTGTATGGGAAAACTTGGGTGCTTATTACAAATTGTTTACCGTATTAATGTAATATGGGAGTTTGATTTCAAACACACTCCCAAAATATAATTAAACGGCTAGAGTATTTGGTTTCCTAATGGGTTTTTTACTACCCTACTACTTTCTTTTATCAAACTATTGTTCTTAATGGAATAAAGATAGAGCTATTCTAATTGGTAATAAGCTTATGTGCGGTGGCCAGCTAGTTGACAATTTTGTATTTTGTTTCTAGAAAGATAACACTGATGTGGCAAGCCACGTCAGTGCTACATGCATGATGGCTTGCCTGAAATATCACAGTGGGGATCCAAGGAAGTCATGGTTTGGTATATCCAAGAGGGAGGTGCTAGCTAGTTTAGTGCCACAGGATCCTTGTGCCGTGTGAGTTACATGGTCTCACTGGTCACTGGTGTTCATGGTGCCACAAAGTTGCGGGTACCCTTGGTGCCAGGAGTGTTCCACCTCCTCACATCTCCCAAGAGCGGCACTGGCCAACTATTCTCATCGAATGAGGGTTCGTACCCACAATTCCCAAGTGAGGGTCATGTGCCTCTTAAGATAATTAACAAAGAGGAAATGTATTCCTACCTTGTTAGCGGTATCTCACTTGTGCTTGGACCTGGGTGTATTTTACCTAATCCTCTCCCTCAAATATGGCCCCAATTGGGTGCTTTGACCACGTGATTACATTGTGTATCTAATTGAGCACGTCTAACATATTTTTTCACAGTAGCAGGACCGTGCATGTGTGTTTTCTAAGACAACAAAATTTCTGGTGCTAAAGAACTTTTATTGCCTAATTGATCAAGCTTCTCAATCTAATGTTGATTTGTACTCGTGATTGAGCTTCCAGTGGTCCACTTGTTTTGTATCTGTGCTAATTCGCTTTATGGATTTACATTCTGCTTCTTTGACCATGTTTAATCTGATTCAGATATGCCCAAACTTATTCGTCTCTTAAAGGTGGCTCTGAGGTGTATTGCTGACTTCGATCATCTCACAGAGGACTTGGCCCATGTAATACCAAGTTTTGTGATCCAAAAGGATTCATTTACTAGAGATCCTTGTTTTGGTTAATTCATCCTTAAACTGTTTGTGGCAGGCCTCTTGAAAATGCCTAGATAGTTCCTTATCCTTTCTTATAAAAATTGGTCATCCTGATGAGATTGCTGTGAGCAATTTTATTACAAAAGATTTCTTTCTTTATGTCCAATATTAGCAATTAGCAGATGTTGAGGCGATGATGTTCACTATCACAGCCATTTGGCAGATTTGATAGAAACTAGCACTACAGTTAAATCTGAAACAGTAGTCATGATTATTAGCTCTGTTTACAAGTGGGACATCACAGTGAATGTCAAGAAACATATTATGTGAATTTCTTCGCTATTACCTTGCGAGAATTTGTTTGCTATTATGTATGACTTTCTGTAATTTTACCAAGTAACTTTTGTCATTTTGGCTAACTTAAACAGGCCAAAGATATAACTGATTTAGGCTCGTTGAAGGAGGCAGCAAAGATATTTGTTCCGGGTACTTTGGTTTGAATTCCTGTTCCTCTCTTTTGTGTTCTTTGGGTTACATATTTTTTGTTGAAATTTTTATTATGGCATGGTAGAGCTTTTGTTGCCTCATAATCTTTTTCTCTCTCTCTCTCTCCCCCTCTCTGTGTGTTCATTTATCAGTTTCATATGTAAACAATGGTGCCAATCTTTCTTCTTGATCCATNCCCCTCTCTGTCTGTTCATTTATCAGTTTCATATGTAAACAATGGTGCCAATCTTTCTTCTTGATCCATCCACCATGTTCTATTTTTTTCGATAAGACCTTGGGCTATAATTTGTTTTTGTTTTTGTTTTTCAAATCCTGAATCCAGACATGCTATTGTTATAGGCGGGGCAACTCTATACTCTGCACGCACAATAAAAATCAAAGAAGACGAAGGGTTCATGTAAGTTTATCTTCTTGTTGACATCAGATTGTATGACAATATAGTAAAATACGACTATTACTTCAGAAAATTGTCACTTCTATTATTTTCTCTTCTTTCCCATAGAGAACAAATAGAATTTTTTGGAGACAGATAAAGTAGCAGCAATATAATCAACCATACCCATGGACACGCATATTACCTATAAACACTAACAATAACATTGGTTCTGGGATTAGAACCTTATTTCTTAGCAAATATGCTTGTTTGCAAGTAATTTAGTCTTGTTAGTCTCCATAAACTAAATTGAAATGAAGTTTCTGATAGAATCACTTTCTCGTTATAGTAGCTGTTAGGAATTTTTTTTTTTTTTTATGATAGTTTCTTAGTGTGTGATGTTCCATGACCCAATTTATTTCAGGACATATTACTTCTACGAGTTTGGTAGAGATGAACAGCATGTTGCACTAGTAGCTGCTGTTAACAGTGGAAAGGTATTGTTTCATGCTGTGTAGTGTTAGATTTGCGATCTCAATTACTTTGGCTATGCAAAAAACTTTCTTCACGTCATGCACCGAGTTGGAAATCATTACTCAATGATTCAGTGAATATCTGCCTACTGCTTGATCAACTTAACCAATGTCTTACTTAATAGGCCAAGTTAAGTTTGCTTAGACTGCAGAATCACGATTTTCATTTTGAAAATGTAGAACTTGTTTTTGTTACAATGCCAGTGTATACTTGTCAAGTCAATCTGGTCTGCCTTGTATGTGTAGGCATATATTGCTGGAGCAGCAGCTCCCCGGTTTAAGTGGGATGCTGATGGTGTGAAACTTCGTTCAGCGGCTGTATCACTGACAGTTTTGTAATTGTTTACAAGGTTTGATACAGTATATTTCTTCTAAAATTTGTTTTTATTTTTATGGACAATGAAAATGCATGGTATTTCACTTGTCTTCATTGCCGTGAAAATTTGGCAAAAAAATGGTGCATAAATTTAATGGCTCTTCTGCTTTACCAGAAGCCATTTTTTCGGAGAAAGTTCGGTGAAAGCAAATGCAAATTGATGCTTTTGCCATTGGAATGAAGAGATTCAGGAGCTGGCCCTGATTACGGTTTGACACCCAAGTTCTTGAGCTGGAGGCAGCAGCATGAGCCTTTTGAAGCTTCCGTTTGAACAGTTGGGAGTTTAAAACCAGGAAACCACAGACAACTCTGCAACTATGAAACCGAAAATTTTTATCGTAGTAAAAATTGGAATGATCCTTTTATCCACATACAAACATGCCCGCATTTGTCTTTCAGTCCTCGAAATTGTTTTAACTATCGGACCAATTGCAGTTTTTTAGTTGTAAAGAATGAATTTTTGGTAGATTTTGAGTTTGAATTGAAGTGGGGGACTCGTTTATCGTTTAGAGTAAATTTTCGTTGGTTCATGTTCTATTCTATGAGAAAAGTATCTAGTATATGCATTTTCTTAAATCAAGTAAGAAATGAATGAGAAAATAGGTTCTAAAATAATTTTTTTAGAATGTCAAAATAGAGATTGTGTAATGTGAAATTTGACACAAATCTTACATTGGTTGGACAAGAAATTCTACATGGGCACATATATATTAAGTTTGTTCTATAAGTTGGGTCTCAAGGGGTATTACAATTTTATGAGCGAAACGAGCGCTTACCTTCATTCAGTTCGACAACACATGTACTTGCCGCCCGCCACAACCCGGTCGGGCTAAGACCCAAGTTTGGGTGTGGTTTAAACTCAATTTTATCTTTTTGAAAAAAATTTATTTAACAAATTGAGTTTGAATATCTTAACCCTGAATTTAATTTTTAGTGTCTATTGGATTAAAAATTCACAATGGTTCGAATTTTTGTTTCACTTTAATTTCAAATTTTGAGTTTGTGTTTGTTCATAAATGAACAATTATTCAATAGTATCTTCAGGGTTGCATTTGTTCTCATGGTGATTATCCAGATCAATCACTATTCTGTCTATAAATAACTAATACTCATTATCATTTTGCATCAATTACATTATGAATTAAGGCAGACACTAACATTCATAATTTCGGCATTAAACAGTTTGTATTTTTTGAGAGTACAACACACAATTATGATTCACTGAACATTTAGATTGGAGTACTTTTTTAAGTGCGTAAAAATAATTGTATGCTATGAGACAAACGTTTTAATTTTCATAAGCACCAAGAGTGGGGGCGAAATCTGTCTTACAGATCTAGTCTTGATCTACATAAAGTTCAATCAAAATTCCTGATCTACAAATGACCTAGTTTATATATTGTTTAATTATAGATTTATGTGCTACTATTTCGTTCTTGATTGTTATTGTTCTATTCTAAATTATATGATATAAATTCAAAGATTTGAATAAGTGATTTTGATATATTTGAAAAATACAAGCAATAATTTTAAGACAAATTTTCTATTTCTTATAATTACTTGTCGTGTTTCTGATTCATGTTATTAGTATTTTTAAAATGTTTTAAAGTATTGCAAATTGTTAAAACTTATTTTTTATAATATACAGTATTTTGGTGAAAATTGATTTTTTTTTTTTTTTTGTGAAAAGTTATGTGTTGTTTATGCGTTTATATATTTATTTGAAATAGCGACACTAAATAACGACATTAAACAGTGAAACCAAATAGTAACATAAAACATTGACATAAAATAGTAACATAGATGGTCTCTATTTTAGCAACATGATTTGAAAAGTGTTATTATTTTCCTCTTTTTAAATATTTGATAATTTTGTTTATCAGAAATGACTTCAAATAATAATAATGTCTCTACTACTTCTCCTCATGATGCCTATTTCTGTATTTACTCATGCGAGTTATGGAGAAAAGTTTAAAAAGTTTAATGAGAACGATTTCAAAAGATGTCAACAAAAATTGTTGTTCTATCTTATTACATTGAATCTTGCATGGTGTTTTTCCGCAAGGATACTCCTGTTTCTACTGAGAATGAGACCGACCGTCAAGTTGTTGATGCGGTGGATGCATGGAAGCACTCTAACTTTCTATGCAAGAACTATATCCTCAGGGAGTGTTTGTTTTGAATGATTAAGGGGGATTAAAGGAGGGATTATATTAAAATTGTCTCGTGGGCCCACATATGGCTACTTTGAATATGTAAAATTGGGTGGGATTTTTGTTGTAATTGAAAAACTCGAACATAGTTTTTGCACCCCAATATCTCCTCTAAGCCGAACTAATAAAACCCATGGGAAGTGTGGGATTGTGGAATCTCCTGGCAGGATTGGTCCCGAAATTACTAAAACACTCCTCAACAATAATTTTCTAGGGTTTTATCTCTCCTTTTCACCCCCCATTGGTCCCCCACTCTTTTGCGATCGATGTCTTCTGGTTGCATTCTCTCTCTCTCTCTCTCTCCCCCCTTTAGAGAGGGAGAATCGAAGTGAGAAGAAGTAGAGATCTTACCAGTAGTATATAAAAAAAGGGCATAAAAATATAGGAAAAAATGGTAGACATGACCATGAAAGGTGATGTTTTGAGAAGATATTTTGAACACCCAGGTGACAAAAAGGGAAATGAAGAAGAATCAAAGGCAGGTTTCTCACTTTTTTTTCATTACTAATTAGTAGTTGTGTTTTTAAGTGGGTATGGAAGTCCATGACTTGTTTTTGATTTTTTGGACCTCTTCGCCAAACAAGATTTGGCTTCAAGTAGATTTGCTGTGCTCTTTTTCTGGTTCTTCATCTTCCTCTCACACTCTTTTGAGCATCATTTTCTACATTGCTGGAACTTCCCAGCCCACCATCGCACAACAATTTAGACAAGAACACACACACACACAATGGTGTGTTGGTTATTGGGGCAAAATTATGAGTCTTCTGTGTTGTGTAGTTTGTAGTTAATTTGTTAGGCTTTGTGGCTTTTCGATTTTTGGTAAAGTCGCTAGAAATTGTACTAAAATTAATTGTTTAATATACTAATGATCAATTGATTCTCAGGTTTTGTAATAGCATAGTATTTTTAGCTATACAATGCTTTCATATTTTAGTTAGTCTCAATTGTTTTTATGTACTTGGGTGAGTTGTAAATTTCTTCTCTTTGTAATTTTTGCTATTTCATTCATTTCTCAATATCTTTTGTTAATTAATTTTAGTACAATATTATGGGTGGATCAAATATATTTGTGGTCAATTTTGTTTTAAAATTTGTTTAGAGTGTAATGCAATTTTTTTTTAATATAACTAGTTATAAATTTTCAATTCAATCTTAAAGTGGTAACCAAGAATTGTCAAGCCAAATATGAGATTAGTTTGGATAAGATTCAAGGGTAAGATGATAAATTAATGTCAAAGTTATAAGATTTGATCAAAAAAAAGTTGGTTTGTCCATGGAGTCCACAGTATCATAAATTACTATCCAAATCAAAGATTTGATAAATCCAAATTTTCTAATCTAACATTGTAGCCGGCTTATTGGGATTTCATTGGATAGATTTAGGATTTAAATCCAAACCAGTCTAATCCACCGAGTCACAGCCAAACACCTCCTTATTGGATTGGGTAACNATATCATAAATTACTATCCAAATCAAGGATTTGATAAATCCAAATTTTCTAATCTAACATTGTAGCCGGCTTATTGGGATTCCATTGGATAGATTTAGGATTCAAATTCAAACCAGTCTAATCCACCGAGTCACAGCCAAACACCTCCTTATTGGATTGGGTAACACATTATACAATGTGCATAGTTCAATCAAGATGACTAGAGAGTTGTGAAAATCCTTGGATAAAAAGTACAAAATAGAGGATACCGGAATGAAGAAATTAGTCGTGACAGATTCCTTAAATATAAAATGATGGATTCCAAGACTATCATAAGTTAAGTTCAAGATCTTTAAGTGATCCTACAAGAGATTCATGTTNCTGTGGAAATTTTTGGATAAAAAGTACAAAATAGAGGATACCGGAATGAAGAAATTAGTCGTGACATATTCCTTAAATATAAAATGATGGATTCTAAGACTATCATAAGTTAAGTTCAAGATCTTTAAGTGATCCTACAAGAGATTCATGTTGAAGAGATGATTCTTAGTGAATCTTTTTAAGTGGATGCAATTATTGAGAAATTACCGCTATATTAGAAGGACTTCAAAAATTATTTGAAGCATAAATGCAAAGAAATAAAATTGAATACTTGATTGTGAGATTGAGGATTGAGGAAAACAATAAAGTTGTTGAAAAAAAGTTGGTATTCATTCTATGGAGTCAAAGGCACATGTAATTTAAAAGGAACAAAAAGCCAACAAAAAAGGGAAGCATGTTGGCCAATAAGGGGCCAAGGGTGGTGATTCCAAAAGATTCAAATGCAATTGCTTTGTGTGCAACAAATTGGGGAATCGTGCTAGGAATTGCCGAACCCGTTAAGTATAAGAGAACCACAAGAAGAAAGCTGTCAAAGCTATTATAACCGAGGTAGAAAAACTTTCTAAAAATGTTTCTAACATGTCTAGTGGAAACATTAATCATATGAAACTATTAATCATAGAGAACTAGTATTTATGGAAAGTTCCTCTACCTCCAAAGTTGAAGGCAAATGAAAGGATATATTGAAGAAGACTTGTAGGAAAGAACTTACTCTTCACGATGTGTTACATGTGCCAGGAATTTGAAAGAATTTTGTTTTCGGATCATTATTGAGTAAGAAGGGTTTTAGGTTGATTTTTAAGTCTGATAATTTTTTACTCACAAAGAGTGAAATTTATGTAGGTAAGGGATATATTAGCGATCAACTCTTTAAGATGAATGCAATGACAATTGTATTTACTTTTAATAATAATAATAACACATCTTCTGTTTATATGC